TATATATATATATATATATATATATATATATATATATATATATGTATTTTTTTCTTCCTTTGCTCTTTTTTTTCTTTTGTTTTTTTTGTTTTTTTGTTTTTGTCATTTCGCTTTTTTTAGCCTAGAACTATGATTAGTACGACTATCTAATATACTTATTTTAAGATTTACTGTAGCTCTACCATTGATTTTCCCATGTGTAATTATGATAATATTTTGTTCTAATTATCTAACTGAGGGAGCCCATTCCTTATAAGCCCGGTGGCCCGGTGGCTCGCCATAAGAGTTTAAGAAATTCGATTTTAGTTGATTTGTACAATTTTTGGCAAACAAAACAAAAAACAATAAACAACAATAAGAGGCCCGCACTGTACAACCCTGATTTCACTACAACTTAACTAAGCAAAATAGATTAAAAGCGAGTTTAGCCTTACCCGAGATATGATTTGGAGTAAAAGCCTAGGCTCGATTACCAGCCACTGTTCAGGAAATGAAGCCCCACTTCTCCCCCGAACTCTTCGCGGGAAGGACCGAGAGGGCAGCAGAAATCGAGCCCTCAGAAGAGGTCAGCGGTCGACATTCATTATGGCGGGCATGGCTATATATGCATTTACTATGTTCGTGCTGATCCGAGACATAATCCGTAAACTTGAGAGAACGCCTTTTTTGGCAAATGAGATTGTAAAGAGCTTAGAAAACAACCACTAAGACTGTGGGTACAACACCTATTTATGCCGTTAGAGGCAGAGCAATTGACCACTCCAGAAAATACCATAACATCCCATAATGCTCTTTGTTTGTAACCCCAAAATTTTGCATAAGCATTGTTTTCAGTTTCTCTTGGGGCCATTTTAACTCCCAAGAGAAACTGAAGACAATGTTTATGCAAAATTTTGGGGTGACAAACAAAGAGCATTATGGGATGTTATGGTATTTTCTGGAGTGGTCAATAGGCCATTTCCAAGTTTCCAAAACTCTCACTTTCAAAACGAGGGTAGGTGCAAAACCTTTTTTGTGTAAATGAGTTTTATTTACATAAGAATAAAAACTCATTTTCATATCAATGGCTTCGCACTTAGCCTCGCTTTGAAATAGAGGCTTGGGGGAACTCGGAAATGGGCTATTGGCAACTCAAATCAATCATCAATCAATAAATCAAAATCAGGACAAAAATTACCAAGCAATAATGACGCAGTCAGGCCAACAACAGTTGTTGTAACAAAGGTCAGAGTACTAAACCACAGGTATGACAAACTGTAAAGATCAGCAAATGGGTTGCTACAATAAAAAAAGAAGGGAAAACAGTTACAAACGCGCTGCATGAGTGTTTCTATAAAGCATGGCTAACAGTGATAAGCATAAAGGCC